AATATAATTAAAAATTACAACTATATTATATTATAATATATTATAATATATTATATAATCATTATTATATTATAGTAAACAAATATATTATATAACCAATAATACACTATAATATATAATAATATTAGAATTATAAGATTATATTAATATTTAATTATATTAATTATTATAGTATTATTAATATACTAAATATAATTATATCAATACAATATAATATATAATATATTATAAAATAATAATTATAATATCATATTATAATTATATTATAATTATAATATCATATTATATGATAAAATAATAATATTAGAATTATTAATATAATTATGATATTATTTGTTACAATATTACTATTATATTACAAGTATAAATTTTAGATTGGAAGATTGTAAATTTTTAATTTCATTAGGGGTATTATGAAAGTTTCATTAATTATACTATGCTGATTCTCACATAATCTAAAAGTTAAAGTTGTCTTTAGGCTGCTTCTGATTTTGATTGTAGATTCTTGAAAAATTCTTCAAAAAACACTTTTGAAGAGATTTACCAAACACTAAAATCAACTTCTGCTACAAGCAGAAACTAATTTTAAGAGGAAAAAATAATACCAAACTAAGCCTTAGTCTAGTGCAAACTGCAACAGCCAAGCTATCCTTTAGAAGCTTTGGTTACCAAAAGTACCAATGCATTTCTAGCACAAAAAAAAAATGGAAATCAACTTAAAAGGTCCGTTTGGTTCATAAATTTGAACAAAAATTTAAATTTTATGAGAATAAATATTGTAACAAAAAGGTTTGAACAGTAATTCGAACCTATAAACAAACGGGGCATTAGCTTTTCCTAACTGAGCAAGTACAGTTCGAACTTTGGTTATATGGTAAGCAGAATGTATAGTAACTCATTAAGGATGACAGAATTGTCACATAATTCACATCATTTTCCAAAGTATCAAATTTGCAGTAAACTGGTTAAAACACACACACAATTCAACATCAAAAATTTTCTGTGAGAAAGTGTAAAGAAAAGAAACTCTAAAGTTGCGTTGACCACAAAATGGATCTTCTCCTGGTGACAAAAAAGGTCCAGAATTTATCCACTCCTTTCCCTTCTAAAACAAGACCCTATAGATTAGGTTTCCTCAACTTTTGTCCAACTTTATGATTCGGTCCATACCCCTCCTGGCCCTTAGCCAAGACTTCCTATCAGTTTTCTTGTGGAGAAGATAACTTTAAACGGAAAACACCACGGTTTCAGGGTCTCTGCAAAACCAGTACATACTGCTTCATTCATAGACAACTTCATGCTATCTATAATTATCAGGCAGCAATTCTACATGTACATTTGACTTCAGGCAAAGCTTACCCGCTTCTTATTGTTTCCCCTCCTCCAACAATCAACTGTTTGATTTTCATGTCCTCGAAACCTCGAGCTTTTGTATCCAGATACATTATTATGAGAACCTTCTTTTCTCTGGAAATCCCCCTTCCATGCTTCTCGTCGGCTGCTGGTTTTTCTAATATCAAAATCTTTGTTCTGATTATTATGACAGTCCCACTGTTTCCAGCACCTTGCACCATCTCCTCCATAGTTTCTCCACCCTCTATCATTTTGAGCTCTAAGATGTTGGCTAGAACTGCTCACCCATGGATCGTCAGCATTTGTTGTACTATTCCACTCCTGCCGGTTCCAGCCCCAATCACTCTTGTCCCAAATAGAATCCCAACCATTACCCTTCCTTGAGATGCAGTCCCGATAGCTGTGTTCCCAAAAATTGTTGTTATTGTTACAACTTCTTTTATTCCGATCACTGTTATCCCATGACGTCTTCCCTTGATCACTCGGTGCATCTTCATTATTGTCACAATTTCTTTTATTACAATCGCTGTTATCCCATGATGTCTTCCCATGATCTCCCCATGCCTTGTCTTGCACATTTCTATCACCACGAGTGGTATTGAAATCCAAGGAAGTATCGTTATTGTCTACATCCTTCGAGGTGTTTATAGGATCATTCCATTGGTTCCATCCATGTTCTTTATTTTGAGAAATTCCACTAAATTCTGCATTATTACATTCCCACGGATTTACCCCATCAACTTGATTCGTACTATTACCACCGGAAGGAGCAGCAAATGAGTTCCTAATCTTCTTGTCTTTCCTCCACAATTTTCCGTTCCCTTCCCCGTCATCGGGAGGAGCAAAATACGCTTGATCCAATTCCTTCATCAATTCAGGATCGATAACTGGATTCCAATCTATTTTGTCGATGTAAATATCAGGGTCGGGCAGAGATACGTCACAAGTTAAGCCATTCATCTCTGCCCAAAACCGCCATTTGGCATTCTGAAATGCCTCTTCAACAGCAGAATCATCCCAATCGAGAATATTACTGTGGCAGGACATAAACTTCTTGGCAGCTACTAGCTTCCGCCACGGAACCGATCCAATCACACAGCAGAATCTCTTTTCCCAGGAAGGCACATTATCCTGCAAAGGCTCTATAAAAAAAGATCTCAAAAAATTTATGCAGAAGCACAATTATTTTCTCCTTTTGAACTACAAATACCCAAAACTAGATAGCAATTGATGAAGGAAAACTTGGAAATATAAAATTTCCAACGAACACCAAACATAATTTCATGGTTTCTATTCACATAAAAATATCATCCCTTTTACCTTTCATATAGGAGACTTATTTCCAAATATCAAATTAGTCATTCTTGCAAATGCTACATTTAGTAATATACATAAATGTCCTAAAATTCTCATCAATTTGATAATATCTAATTCTTAATAATACATACCAAATCACTCACTAAAGCCATGAAATTAAAATTCATCCACTAATTGTTCATTATTGGGGTTCTTGTTCTCTAAAATTTTCCTATATTCTTTACGTTCCTCGCTTAAATCTACTGCCGTTTTGTTCTATTACTTCTCAAACATAAATTCTAAGAAAAATTCGAAACCTTTTTTCCATTCTTTTCAAAATTCTCATGATTCGAACAAATATAACCTTCATCGCTAAGAGTTCTACATTTACACAAGCGATTCAATAAATAAATAAATATCGGAACATGGAAATATTAAAACCAGAAAATAAACCGCTTATTTTTTTAATTAAAAAAAAAGAATCTTTAAGATTGTATATGGAACGAATTCGACGAATATCCAATTCACATTAAAAAAAAATTAAAAAAAAAATGCAGATAGAGAGAGAGAGAGAGAGAGAGAGAGAGAGAGAGATTATTACGAGGGGGAAGTTCGGAATCAAATTGCGGCGGGGGAGAAGTCCAGCTCCAGAGATTTTGTTGGCGGTAATTTCTACGCCGTGGACGATAATTCCATTTACCCATTTCAGTCTCCCAATCCTACAGTCCCAAGCACTCTCTAGAGAGAGAAACTGAGAGAGAGAGAGAGAGAGAGAGAGAGAGAGAGAGAGAGAGAGAAACGTGTTCCCCAGCGCAAGATTGAGGGGTCAGACTAGGAACCAAACGTTCTACTTCCTTTTTGTCCTTTTGAGTTAATTTTAAATTTGACCCCAAAAATTGGAATTGTCTGACTTTAACCCTGTACGGTTCAAACTGGAACAAAATCACCTTCAAACTTATCAAATCGATTATTCTTTTTGCACGAATGCCCCTGAATTTTTTCACCTTGATTTCTTGAACTAAAACTCTTGTTAATTGAATTCTAAAGCTTAAGGGGTCAGTATCAAGATTTTTAGTTCGGAGACTGATTTACCAAACATGAGAAGTTCAAGGAGGATCCATGCAAATAAGTTTTTACTTTTATTATTTTTCCTTTACGGCTGTAACGACACGTTTTTTTAATATGCGCTGACAAATAGGTCAGATCTCATTTTCAAGTCGTCTAATTGTTTGCATGTAAAAGTTACTGTCGTTTATGGAAGTAAACGACATTCTTTCAGAATGAACAACTACACGAATAGCGCATGTCGTTTTCGTCCCAAGTTTGTCACGGCCATTCATAAAACGATACGTCGTTAATAATCAAACTACAAGTCGTTAATTTGAAATAGTGTCTTTATCAAAAAACGACAAACCTTAGAATTTTATTTGTTTTCTTTTTAGTTTTATTTAAAAGGAATCATCACGAATTGTCATGTCATTTTGTCATTCCTATAATTTACTGTCATTTACCTAAAGGTTCTAAACCAAAGTCAACTCTGGCGAATGATTTGTCGCAGTTTATAGTTTATACAAACGAGATTCATGTTGGTTTGTTGATATCGTTCCCTTAAATGTCATGTCGTTTAAAATGAAAATATAAACAATAATATTATAGGCCCTGTTCACTTTATCGATTCGAGTTTTGCTACAGTAAAAAAACTCTCAGAAACAGTCACATCTAACTTTTTTACTACAGTAAAAAATTCTCACATAAAGTCACATCTCAACTCGAATTAAAAACTTGAATCAGCGAACTAAACCAGCCCATAATATATTAACAACTTAATTGCCAAAGTAAATGGAATTATCGTAGGCATAGATGTCTAGAGGACGAAATGTCATGTAATTTTTTTCTGGTCACAAAGATTGATAAAACCAGAAGTCCAAAATTAGACAATGCCCGTCATGTGTGGGTGTTGATCAAGAACATTTATGTGTAACTGTTATATTTTCTAATGAGCAGTATTAATAGCATGAAGTTAGGAAAAATGTCACGTTACTCGGCAAGCATGTAGGCATAATATGACTCATCGTTGGAGTTGTCTCCTAGTATTAACACGCGACCCTTTTGATAAGAAAGTGATGGCTAACCGCTAGAGCAATATTTATTGTCAAACATGCATTACACCACTTTCATGTTGTACAAACACATACTAGAAATCCGACTTGCAAGAAATGGATAGGACTTGGAGATGTGTGATGAAGAGAGAGAGAGAGAGAGAGATTTGCTGGAAGAAAACAGATTTATGTATGTTTATTCTCTTTTTTTTTTTTGGAGGCAAAAGATGAAAAAGGAAAAAAGAAAAAAGAAAAAAATGCAATGTGACTAGTCCTCTCTATGGGGCCCTTTCACAGCTGTATTCACTCTTACAACACAAGGCTACTTTGTCTTCTTCCTTATATTCTCTCTTCTCTTGCACATTGTGATTTCCCCACAGCCCTCAATAATAGTCCTCTCTCTCTCTCTCTCTCTCTCTCTCTCTCTCTCTCTCTCTCTCTCTCTCTCTCTCCTATGAGGAACATGCTATTGCTGTCCTTGTATTTCTGTAGTTTTAGGACACTCTCTTACTTTCCAAGATAAAGAAAGAAATATTGACTTGAACTCTTTAAGGGCAATGGCAAAAAAAAAAAAAAGAAGAAAGAAAATGGCAACACCAAGGGTCTCCTTTGTTATATCACCACACAAAACCTCCGTTCCAACCATTTACTCAATCAAGCATAAAGCACAAACTCTGAACAAAACGTTCAAAAAAAAAAAAAAAAAGATTTCGAGGGCCAATTGGGACCCGACACGTGGAATCCTTAGCCTAAACGTCGGGGTACAGTTGCATGGTACTAAAAGGATGAAGGGCAATTTGGTAGTTTCACTCCCAACAGACATTTGAATATGTTTGTTGCGGTGTAGGATCATGGGAGTGGCAAAACGATGACAAGGCCCCATTTGGCTCAAAGAGTTTTACCCATTAGTCATCAAAAGCTTCCCTCCATGAGTACAAAGCAACTCTACTTTTTTTTTTTTTTTTTTTTTTTTTTTTTTTTCCCCCCAACTCTACCTTTTTTTTTTTTTTTTTTTTGCCCATGCATAGAGGCCCACATATTGCACAGGGGAAACTCATCATATGGAAGCTGAAATATTTGAAATGATTGAATTTGACAACCAAACATACCTCCTAGATTAGCACCAACTAGGGGAATTTTAATGACATTGGGGTCACTTGATCAAAGTTTTGAAACCCAAAAAAAAAAAAAAAAAAACGTTAGGAACCCTTTTTTTTTTTGGTTATTTTACATGATATTATATAGAATGATTGCATTTGAAGCAATCTTACTAAATTTCATAGATTTCAACACTAACTTCTTGACTTTCTCATAAAAGTGGTATCCTAGCTCCCAAGAGGAGCTTATCTTTTGGATGTGGTGATTATCTTTTGGTTCAAGACAATCACATGATTTAAGGAAAATGCCAGGTAACATACTATTTTGGACACTACACAATATCTTCATAGAGGTTAGCATTTGGAATATCTGTTTGTTTTGTTTTGTTTTGTTTTGTTTTTTTTTTTCGTATTTTACTTTGTAATAGAGTTTTGTAGATCAGTTTCATATGTATTCATTTTCTTGGATTTTCAAGACTAAACATGTTTGGATCAGTTCTTTGTTTGTATAACGTCTAATGACTAAATCACCGCAAACTATCTTATCAGCATAAATCCAGAACCAATCAGATCTCCAATGGCTAAGAAGAAGGGTTGGTTCACACTGGTGAAGAGATTCTTCTTTTCAGATTCACAGTCAAAAGAAGAAAAGGTTAGCTATTTTCCTTCTCTTTTTTTTTTTTTTTTTTTTTTTAATTTCTCATTGGCTTCAAAATTGTTGCATTTCTTCATTCTTTTTTATTTTTATTTTTTAAATTCCCAGAAGGAAAAGAGAAGGAAATGGGCGTTTGCAAGACTTAGAATCAAAAGATTACCCTCAATAACCGCCCCACCACAAGTTGTAGAAAACAGAGCACCTAGTGAAGAGGCAGAGGAAAAACAGAGCAACCACGCTCTAACCGTGGCCATTGCCTCTGCTGCCGCTGCCGAGGCTGCTGTTGCGGCTGCACATGCTGCTGCTGAGGTTGTTCGTCTCACCGCCACCCCTCGGTCCACGCACACCGTCACTGAAGATGCAGAGAAGCCATTCCCCGATGAAACTCTTACCGAGAAAGAAAATCACTCGGCGCATACAAAATGTGAGAGGGAAATCCAAGAATCTGCTGCTGTTAAGATTCAGACCTCCTTCCGGGGTTACCTTGTGAGTCCATTCAATCTTTTGCAAACTAGTTCTCATTGATTTCGCAAATGGGGTTGTCTGAATTGGCTTGAAGAACCTGAAAATCAATATGATTACATGAAGTTTTCCTGTTTGAATAGTTCATATGAGAATTTGCTAGTATTCAATTTGTGTTTCTAAATACCATGAAAGTGTTAATGTTGTAGTAAGCTTGAACGTGCCTAGCACAAGAAGTATATAAGATTGGAGACTATATAAGTTTATTATTATTATTATTATTTTTTCAAAGGGAGTAGTTTTAATATGTGATTACATAAATTAGTCCATTTCTGACAAAGACCATGCTTATGCTCATATATATGAGAATTTTTTAGTACTCAACATATGTTTTTGCTAAATTACCTGAAGGTGTTAATATCAAAGTTAACCTTGAATTTTGCCTAACAAAACAGCTTTAAGATTAACAAATTGTTACCCAACAAACAAAGCAACTCTCACTCCGTCTTCACTTATGTTGTGACTTTTTATATCATTTTATGAATGGTCCTTGTTTTGACAAATACATACATGTGAATTGAGAATTGCAGGCAAGGAAAGCTTTGCGGGCACTGAAGGGAATAGTGACACTTCAAGCAATTATCCGCGGCCGAGCTGTGAGACGCCAAGCTGTTACCACTCTCAAGAGGCTTCAGTCCATAATTAACATCCAGTCACAAGTCTGTGCTAACAGATTACAAACAACTGAAGGCGCTTATAATTGTGATGGTAACAACCAGTTAGAGAATTTGAGAGACAAAATACTAAGGGTAAGTTTGGAATAAACTTTTTGGCTCCTTTCTTAACATTGTGAAGGTAACAAATAAGCATCATCTTTTCATAGCTTAATCATTGGCTGCCATGCTCTTTTAGGCTATATTTGGTAAGTGAGAAACAAAATAGAAAGGAAATAGATGTATATAACTTAGGTGAGGAATGTTGAAACTATGAGAAACTTTGGGAGGATCAAAACTGGAATGCTTTTTAAATCAAGGACTGCTATGTTATTTTGATGCTCAATCAGATATGTCATAACAAAAATTGCCAAATTTTTGCATTACTTTTAGATGGATTCTTTCAATCAGAGAAGATGGGATGATAGCCTTCTATCAAAGGAGGAGGCAGATGCCATGTTCTTGAGCAAGAAAGAGGCCGCGATTAAGCGAGAACGGATAAAGGAGTACTGGCATAGCCACCGGGTAAACTAGGCCTGAATTTTACCGTTTCTAAATATTTTTCTTCTTATTTTGAGTTTTCAGCAAAGTTTTTCCTTTTCCAGAAGTCAGCAGAATCAGAAAGAAACAAAGTAAATGGAAGATGGAGATACTGGTTGGAGCAATGGGTGGACACCCAACTCAACAAAAGTAAAGAGCTAGAAGATTTGGACACAGTTTTGGGGTCAAACACAAGAAACAAAGACGAATTCGGAGTGAAAAAACTAGGGCTTAGGAATGTCCAAACTCAGCATCAGAACGAAGGATTCATGGACTCCCCAACATTTGTGCCAAGAAAATCATATCATAGAAGGCAATGCTCATTGGGAGACGAGAACTCCTACACAAGCTCGCCTTTAGTCCCGACTTACATGGCGGCGACGGAATCTGCCAGGGCAAGAGCAAGGTCCATTAGCTCACCAAAGCTGAGGCCAGAGAGCCTAGAAGGATTTTCACCAATCAAGAACAAGCTCTCACTTGTGTCTTCAATCACTAGTGAACTTCCTATTAGTAGTACTACTATGGGAAGGCCTAGTGACTATTTACACCAAAGATCTCCAAGCATGAAGGGGGTTAGAGGGCCTGTGAAATCAAGCAGGAAGACCAAAGACTCAACCTTCGATTCAGAATATTCATTGTCAAATTGGGATAGACAAACCATCTTTAGATGATATCATGATCGCGATGATGATGATGATGATGATGATGATGATTAATGTGATGATGATTCTACTTAGCTGCAAAAAACAAGATAATTAAGTTGGTTAGGTGATGATGATGATTCTACTTAGCTGCAAAAAACAAGATAATTAAGTTGGTTAGTTTCTTGGGTTGGAATGAAGTAGATTGAATTGTGTTTTCATCTTTTTTTTTTTGGGTCCTCACATGAAATCCAAATATTTTGGAGAGCATTAATGTTTTATAATGTTAACATAACTTGTATGCTGCCAAAAGCAGTATTATAATACGGTACTACAAATTACAATATCTAACACTGATTTGGAATATTTGATGGTAGTAGTTTGAATATGGGCTTGGAATTGGTATTGTTGCTCCATCTATTTGTGCCATCTTGTCAAATTCTCATGTCAACTTTGACTCAACATTGAAGACAAATTTCTGTACCAATAGTACTAACAGAGCGGGCCATAATAAGTGAAAATGCTTATGTTTGGCCCAAAATTGACCTCAAAGCATTAAATTGAGAAAATTGCTGACTTATTTAGGGTTGTTTATAGGTTGGGTTGGTGCGGGGGTATGGATTTTTCTTCTCCTGTTTCAAAAAGTGCGGGTTGTACATATTTGACCCCAATGATGTTAAAAAAATTTCACAACCTAATGATGTTTGAGTTAGGTTAGGGCGGTGCAGAATGAGTTGGGTGGTCGGTTTTAACATTCAAAGAATCAAAGACTCAAAGTTTAATCCAACATTCAAAGTTCATCATCAAATAGACAAAATAACTCCAACATTCATACAGATAGAAATTCAAAGTTCAATCTAACATCAAACATAAAGCAAAGTAGTCCATCCAACATCAAACATAAAGCAAATATAAATTAGTCTACACTCATAAATTTGTCTTTAACATAAAGCATACACAGAGGTTTAATTCAAACATGAAAAATTAGAGAGTAGAAATGAGTTGCCTACCGAGGGCTGCGGGTTTTGCGGTTTATGAACAGCCCTAGACTTAGGCTTGGAGTACATGATCTGAATTTTTACCTTTTTACTCTTAATTAATACATTTTTGACTAATTATTTACTTGACCGAAAAGGATATTCACCAATAGTGGAGTAAAAATTCAGACCATACACTCTAAAAAGTATTTATCTCCTTTCTCCAAAAGAATTTCCCTCAACAAATATCTCCTAGACCATTTGTCAATCCACCATTGAGAGTCACAAGTTATGTATGATACCAAGGACAGCCAGTTCACTAGCTATATTAGTACAAGAGAAGTCACAATGTCTCTATGATATAGAGAACTGTTAGTTCCAGTCGGGTTTTTTTTTTAAATAGAAAAATTGGAGCTACATTTGCCTATATAACAAAATTGCCACTCTCCTCACCTATAAACGGAGAATATGGCAATGGAACTATACTTTTATTATCTTTTATTTTATTTGGTGTTACATGGTAAATTTTTTAAAATACCCCCGAAATAGAGCATTTTTATTTTTATTTTTACCTCTTAACATTAGTCCATATATTTTTACATTTTAGACTATAACTAGTCAAGGGGTAAAGTTTTCTTTAAAATGATATTTTTAATAAATCAAGTACTTAATAAGGTAGAATATGAAATTTTCTCATGTAAATACATTTTCCGCTAAATAATTAACCCCAAATATCTTTGTTGCTTTCTGACTCATACTCATGAATTCAATTCCGTCTTTCCAAACTCAAAGGATGCAAAGAGAAAGTTATCCCTACGACAAAAACAAATTTTACTTGATAATAATTCCGTGTTCAAATACTCTAACTACGTGAAATAATTGTCACATTTCTAATAAAACAATTTTCAATAGTCATAATCAGATATAGTTAGAATCACACTTGGTCATCATCATCATCTATATTATTCTTAAGTAAGAATTAGAATGTGTCGACATTATTATCTGTTATTTTTTTTTTATTTTTTTTTTATTTTTGTAACGAAAGGATGCCAATAATCACTCTTCTACTAAGCAATAATTTGTAACCTACTATCTAATTGTCTTGAAATTTCCATGTATAAGATGTGGTTTTAGCGTTGTTAACAAAAATAATACTACACTTAACCAAATCTCATCTGAACTTTTTAATACGTACCAACTTGTTACCATTAGGTAAAATTTAGATTGATTATAAAATCAATGTATAAAAAGACACTTTTTTCGCCAATTATAAAATAATAATTAAATTTACAAACTAAAAGAATATGAAATAGTCATTAAATTGATATATAACGGGATTACTCATTTAATTTTACCTCTACATTGGATAAACCAACCAAGAAGAGCATATTGTTGATCGTCCAGTCCAAACTGACATGTTCAAAAACTTGGATGCTAAAAGTATCCTCCGATCTTAGTACAATCAACTGAAAATCTTCTAGTACAAATAATAATAATAATAAAAAAAAGGTTTAGTATTTAGACAAAGAAAAAAGAATATAGGGCCAAGAAAAAAAAATAATAAAATGAAAATACTTCTGAAGAAATCATACGTGTTTAATCTGAATCCAAAATCCAAAGATGGAGATCATGAGCTTGCAGGCCCAATCACTAACAATAAGTAGGGGAAGAGGTTCATTTACAAGGCCCAATTCCTTGCAAAAAATTTACCTGAATTTGAGAAAACAGAAAAGCATAGCCACACATTTGAGATTGAAACTTTCCTTTCACGAAGGCTGAAGGATGTGGAGAAGAGTTAGCCATGCAGCACAAAAATTGGCTGATGAACTTCAAAAAAAAAAAAAAAAAAAAAAAAAAAAGAAAAAAAAAAAAAAAAAAAAAACTAGTAATAATAAAAAAAAAAAATGTTGTACTTTCTCTTCATCAAAACAAAGATATCATTATAGTATTATAATTCTCAAGAGACTTGGTCAAAAGTCCAAATTTCCAGAAGACAGATACAGTTCCGTAAAGTCATGTAATTCATCAATCAAGGAATATACGTGCAAAGTCAGTAATTTGTCTTATTCGGACCAAAAATATGAAAAGCTAGGATCAGTAGAATTCTAATCTCAAATGGTTACTACATATATATACGTATATAACATGACTTCATTGACCACAATGGAAGTTATCATTTTGTTGAGATTAAACGCCTTGATTTTGTACTGCCGAGAGCGATAAAATCACATAGAAAAAAATTACACGTATAAGATTTATACTGATTTATTCTTAATATAAAAACTAAACTTTCACTTTCAAATTGTTATTGTTAAAAATTAAAGATATTACAAAATAAATCGCACACCACATTACCAAAATCTATTATGTTTTCTGATCTAACAATCTTTCTTAATTAACCTTAATAAAAATAAATCTGCAAGTGCATTAGGATAATAATTAGACTCAACAACTTAACACATTTACTCAATCATTTCCCAAACATACAGCAGTCTTATGTCACATGAATTCAAAGATGGAATATATAAACACTTCATTATACGCTCCGAACAAAATGCCAAATCATGTTGTTCAAAGTTCATTGACATATATCAAGAGCACTAACTTCATGCACGAAAAGGAAAGTGTCTACCACTTAAGAATATGCAACTTTCAAGTAATGCCCTCAACTAATTTCCAAACATTGGTCATTGGACTTGCACCTAACCAATCCTCGTGAAGCACATGTGCTTCTCAGAATATATGAATATGCGGCCGACATATATTGTAAAATAAAAAAAATATGCCAAATATATTACTTTGTGTGTTATAAGAAATATGTGAATATTGAAAATTGTGACGGCTGAGAGAGAGAGTCTCAGAGGCCACGTTCATTTCACCGATTCGAGTTTTGCTACAGTAAAAATCTCTTAGAAACAGTCACATCTAATTTTTTTGTTACAGTAAAAAAACTCTCACATAAAGTCACATCTCAACTCGAATCAACCAACTAAATGGGCTCAAAATATATGAATATGCGGGCGGCCGACATATATTGTAACATAAAAAAATATGCCAAATATATTACTTTGTGTGTTATAAGAAATATGGGAATATTGAAAATTGTGATGGCTGAGAGAGAGAGTCTCAAAAGCCCCGTTCATTTCACCGATTCGAGTTTTGCTACAATAAAAATCTCTTAGAAACAGTCACATCTAATTTTTTTGTTACAGTAAAAAGCTCTCACATAAAGTCCTATATCAACTCGAATCAGCCAACTAAATGGGCCCAAAATATATGAATATGCAGCCGACATATATTGTAACATAAAAAAACATGCCAAATATTTTACTTTGTGTTGAAAATTGTGATGGCTGAGAGAGAGAGTCTCAGAATCCCCGTTCATTTCACCGATTCGAGTTTTGCTACAATAAAAATCTCTTAGAAACAGCCACATCTAATTTTTTTGTTACAGTAAAAAGCTCTCACAAAAAGTCACATCTCAACTCGAATCAGTCAACTAAATGGGCCCAAAATATATGAATATGCGGGCGGCCGACATATATTGTAACATAAAAAAATATGCCAAATATATTACTTTGTGTGTTATAAGAAATAGAGTCGGTCAACTGATCATATGTAAGACTTGTTGTGATCTAGTGAAGAAGAACCTTCTGACTCACATACGGTTTTATGAGTTAGGACAATATTCATTCTCCAAGTTGATACTTATGGGGGGTATCCTTATTGTATTATTTTGAAAGTGACATTCAAAGGTTTGAAACTCCTAAGTTTTCATATATTTTGAGTGTTGAGGTGAATTGGGTCCCACTTATTTTTTTGATGATCAGTCCATCTCCGCGTGATGGAGTCAAGTAACATCAAACTCACCAGTAGTAGTTGCTTGGCTTGTGAGACGTTCATTGTTTGGGCAACGTTCTTTTTGCCCATTTTTAAGTTGTCTTAGTCAAATATATAGAAATAACGGTTATAAACATTTGGGGTGACCATATCTATTTACTGCAATTTTTTTCCTTTTTTTTTTTGTTGTTGTTGTTGTTACCAATCCAATCAAATGAAGATAAATGCGTAGATTTTTAAAGATCCGCTTTCAATTCATGTGTCCAATTTATGCAAAAGATATAATCCAAATCTAATTTGGATTAAGACATCGGATTCTAGTTTGGTTAATTTGCAATTTAAAATCTAATTCAATCAAATTATTAAGATCAAAAGTACTAGAGAAAACTAATTAAAAAAATTCAAAAATTTGAAGCATATCTCTTCAGCTCAAACAAATATTATTCAATATAATTCACAATCCATTACCTAAACAAAAATTAAGAGAGAAAAGCCATTTTATTTTTTAAATTTTTATACAACCACAACACTAAAAATATATAAAAGATATATATGTTGAAACAATTACATACTTATCTAAGGTGACATTATAGATAGGTTTGGAAGTTTGATTTTAGTTTGGAATCCAACCCAATCCAATGTAGCTGATTGAATATCTAATGGAAATTATATTAAAATAGAGTAGATCGGTCAATTATTTAATTGCATTTGATAAATCACTCGTGTGGTCACGTCTAATAAAAATGCAAGAGGTGCCCTTAATACACCACCATCCAGCACAAAATTTGACAAACACAAATCTTTCAAGATTTAACTTAGAACTACCTCTATCTTAGTTATTCATAACGAAGGCCGTATGCGGATTTATCGTTAGGCTAAACTTGCAATCAACGTAGTTCTACGTCTCTACCTTTCGCGTGCATTATTATTCGTGTAGGAGATTTGGGTTTATTTTATTTTAGTTTTTGGCATCTAAGGAAGTTAGCTTTGTTCTTGTGTTTTATTTCCATTTTCAAGCTAAGGAAGCACCACCTTTTGAATATTAATTACCATCAAATATCTTTTTGTTTTGCTCTAGCTTGATCAGTCATACCAACTAAAAAATGTGGCAAAACTTCAGTTCCTAACAAAGAAATCTTGAAAATCCTACTTTAGTAATCCATATCACTTTCGCACTTTTTTGAGAAGGACTAAACATGAGGCTGCATTGTGTGATAGAGATCAAAAGGAAGAGCCTAGACTTTCAAAAAAAAAAAAAAAAAAAAAAAAAAAAAAAAAAAAAAAAAAATTAAAAGAGAAATAATTGGACTTAATACCACTGTAGCAAAAATGTGACTGATTCTCACAACACGTGGAATGAAAATGGATTACAATGCCCTATCGTATAGTTCATATCCTTTTCTGATGTTGATATTTTCAGTTCTTTTGCGTGTTATTTTCAATTGAAAACTACATCTGCCGACTGCCTTAGACCGGATTTTCACGCTTGTTGCTCAAAGTTCTTCCCTGTCCTCCATTGCCAACTATTCTTGATGTCTAGGAATTTGTGGCTTAAACCTTTCTCCATGAAGAGTGCAATGCACTTTCTCAAAGTGATTTTTGAAGACCTATTCTTGATATCTAGGAATCTGTGGCTCAAACCTTTCACCATGATAGAATGCAAAACTTTCTCAAAGTGATTTTGAAGAGGAAGTTTGAACTTTGGAGGCATGACAAGGCTGCATTAAGATAATTTGTTACATTCATGAACCTCACTAGATTTTAACTTTGAAAGGGCTTGTGTTATTTAGTGGAAACTTCACTTTGTCCTCCTTTATTTGCAGGGTAAGTTTGATGAGATTATGTACGATATAACATGACATATCTAGTGGTTGTAAGAGGATGTGGGGAGATTCAAATGCATAATGATGAAATGGTGGATCTAATATTATGTGATTTAATACCCCAACTAAATGAGTTAATCGGGCTAACTAAGAGCGTCTTCAATCCATTGAAAAATCAGTACTAATGCGAAATTTTAAACAGTTGATTAGGAAAGTCATTGTCCAATACAATACTATTTTCGATGTTAAATTTGACATGTGTAATACTTTCTCTCAAACTTATTATTGCCAAATTCTAGTATTTAATTGTTATTGGTTGATCTGTTAACTTTTTTTTTTTTTCATTTAATCCTTACGACATTGCCATATACAAATATTTTATAATTGAAAATTTATTTTTACAAATTCTAAAACTTAAAAATTATAACGCTATTTGAAATAGCATTATATATTAAAAGTATAGAATATGAATACAACATTGTCATTGGCATTGGCATATACATTTAAATATATAGAACATGGTCCAATTATAATCATTTAGTGCCACTAGTTTTAGCCCTACCAAACTCTATTGTATAAGTGCGCTGCCCATGTAATGGTCCATGTACTATAATCAGGATATTTTGGGGTTAGATGCAGAACTTGTAGGCTTTTGTACTCAACATCAATACTGGCGTTAAAGCATTTCCCCTATTATTGTTCCCATCCTAGTCGACATACCATTACATCAGTCGTTTCCCATGATACGACATTGCTCCGGATGTCGTTTCCCATGGGATATCCCGATCAAGTTGCAATCATTCAAAATGATACTCCAGAATTGGTTTAAGAGATTAATTCAAAGCCTAAAATACAACACAAACAAACCGAAGCGTGATTTGTGATTTATGCAAACCAAAAGAAATCAAAATGTCAACTAAATCAAACAAAATAATATTTTGTCAATTGATTTGGTTTAGTTTGTGCTGTTTGAGCTCTTTTTATTTAAACTTTTGAATTTGAGCTCCTTAAAGGTCATTTTCAACTGATTTCATAAATAAATAAAAAAATTAAAAACAAGGAACTGTAAGGAAAGAAAAATACAAAATATAA